AAAGCATTCATAGTGGTGATTTACAGTAAACCGAAAAATTTGATACCGATTTTTAAAGTGTTGTAATTATACCACCGAATGCATGCATAAGCAAAATTTGGAATCTTCGAGATGACAGAATCTCTATCGGCTCCGTTGCATTTTATATCACAAACTGTACGTACACTGATAGAAGTGTCATTACCTGCAAATATTATCCCAAAAAATTGAATCTCTGATAAAGTAAAGTTTTTGTTACATCAATTTTGAATTAGATCAAACAGATTCGCTTTTCAATAAAGATTGCATTTTAATTCCAATTCCAAGTGCGTGAATATCTCTTGATATTTGAACATTTCAAATTGAATTGAAATCGAAATTTCCTTCAAAACTGCAGAAATTACACAAATCATTTCAATACATTAGCGAAATGCATCAGTAACTCATATATTTGAGCTTTAAGTATTCTAATTGAGAAGAATCATTGATTTCAGATCATTTTTTTGTTTCACATACTGATTCACTTTATCAGTATCAATGGATTATCTAAATTATAGAGTTGGGCCAAGCGGAATACTAGGCAATGAGGCTTTCAAAAATCGAAAATTCAATAAACAATTAATATGATCTATCGATTATCTTTGATCAATAATGTAATAATTTATGCATTTCAATGCTTCAAATTCAGTCTTTTTTAAGAATTTGTAAATTTTCTGAAACTTTAAATAATTTCAAGATCGGAGAAAAGTACTAAAGATTAAGCTTACTTTTTGCATTTGCAAATGAATTTTCGATGAATTTTTCATCGTAGCAATCAGTTTCAAGCAATTTCGGATCATTTCTAATGGCTAACTTGCAGGCTGATCCCCGATCGTGCCTGATTTGTATATCATTTCCAAAACACATCAGTGATCGTTTCTCTGAAAATGGTATTTTCCAGCCTTAATTTTGCATATTTTTTATTTAAAACAGCAATAAATTGTAATCATCATTTTTTGTACCGTATTCGACTTACTAACACCAAAGTAAAATTTACAAAAGTGTCCACTGAAATTTTTTCATTGTGTATACATATATTATATTTAAATCATTGTATTCAGTTATCACTATCGTAATCAACGTGAGTAATAATATTAATGAATTTTTAAAGATGTTAAAATGCAAGTTTTTTATGACAATTTTAAAATTAAAAAAAAGCTGTAGTAA